TACTTTCTGAACTCCTTGGCATCTGAGCATGGATATAAAGTCATGAGGTAGATTTCAATGGTAATGTTTTTCACATCTACTAATAAGGAGCAAATTTTTATGCTTTGAAGAATTATTATTTCTTTAATCATTATACTTAAAAAAAATTTTAATGACTACATGATTAGAAGCTTTTCACTACAGCTTTAACATATTCAGTAACACACTCCAGAGCAACAGTACATCTCAAGTGGGTACAAGTTTCTAGGTTCACAGTTGAATTAATATAGTTATATGTTATTGAACTCAGTATAAGCCCCATAAGACCTCAATTGGATGAGTTTTTAACCTTTAAAAAAGATCTTGTTTTGTTTTTTTGAGATAGGGTCTCCCTGTAGCCCCAGCTGGACTGGAACTTGCTATGTAGAGCATGCTGGCCCAATGTCACAGAGATCCACCTGCCTTTATCTCCTGAATGCTGGGATTAAAGGTGTATAACAACCATACCTGGCCATAAACATTATTTTTAGCATCAAATCTTTTCTTGTTTTTCAGTGTTCATTAACTGAGCAAACGACATCATTCTACAAGGGTGGAAGACTCAGTTACAGATTCACTCACCCCTTCATACATCGTCTTTTGCTGAGTACATCTTAGACTTCCGTGGTATTTTAATGACTATTAGTCCAGCTGTCTGATTAGCCAGATATAGCCCACAGCAGTGACTTATTTTACTATTCTAGGACTTGACTCTACTACTTTAATTGACTGTCAAGTTCTGTGCAAATATTCAGCTTCTCAATGCCCTGGTTTCCTCATCTGCACAGTGGGTATGCTAATGGGGCTTACTTTGTGGAGCTTTAGGGAGCAGTCCATATAATAATGCACTCAAGTATTTAGTCTAATATGTGCCGTTCACAAATGTTCCATCTGATTTTCAAGGACTTTTAACCTTTGAACCCGTCACCCATTTTTCAACTCTCCAATGATTCATCACTCCAATCTCTGTCAGATGATCTGCGATCATTGCTACTGCTGCATCTCATATTCTAAGCTGCACCAGTCTGAATCCTATCTTGACTCAACTCCCTCCACCAACCCTTTCTCTTCTTGAAGTCTTCATTCTTTTTCTAAAGCCTCCACAACCATTATGCTGTTCTCTATAGTTTTCCCTGTGATGCTGTGTGGTTTATGCCTTCATTTTGAATTCAGCCACATGGAGTATGAGGCTGTTCCTAAAGTTGCAGGTGCCTGCTCCTCAGCATTCTGCACAGAGTAGAAACTCCACGAAAGCTTCATGGTTGGTGAATTATGAGGAATAATTTGGCAGACTAAAGAAGTTCTGGCCCTGTAAGTTTTTCCCATGAGTGGAAAACACTCTAGTATCATGTCACTTACATGCTTAATTTCATGAATTTATTCCTTATTACTTACCTGATTCCATAAAGGTTTGAAGCTGCATGTAAGTCATAAAGTTCACACTGTTACCTATATATTTAAATAAAATAATTTTTAGAGCTAGCTTTAAAGAAATATATTCTCTCAAAAGAAGCAGGTCAGCTGATAACTTTTTTTCTCCTTTCTTCCAAGGTTCTAAGCTTCACTAGCGAAATTATTTTGCTTAATGCTAAATTTGTTAAACTTAAGAGACACAGCTTTTCTGTTTTATTCTTTACCCTTTTCAGCTGTGAACTCTTTGTTACACAGATGCTTTGAAAGTGTCAGTCAGAACCAGAAAAGAATGAAGTATGTTTCATATATCAGGTTGGGGAAATCTGATTGCTTCTCTTGGAACAGATTGTTCATTATAACAGTATCTATAATAAATGGATCATACTGCTGAGATAGATGAAAATGAAATTAATTTGGCTCAGATGTGATCTTTGTTTTGCTTATGAGGATTTGAACATCCTTACAGAGTTTCAAATTTCCATGCAATTTAGAAATAAAAAGATTTCAAAATGCAGCTGCTTCTCTTGCCAGTGGCCATCTCGTTCCCTCACTATAGCACCGTGGACCAGAATGGCAAATGTGGAAACATGCATATGGAATTAGTGTTTAGCAGGATCTTATCAGAATTTTGGTTTTAAGTCTCCATTTCACAAGTTGAAAGATCACATGAGACAATGTGCTTTTTGTTGTAGGTCGCCTATCAGATTGGTAACTATGAGTTGGCCAAGAAAGTGTTCTCACCGGTTTGGGATTATTTTGTTGTTTCTCCACGTCTGGATGAACAATCAGCTATTTGTTTAAACAATATCATGACAATAACACAGAGAAGGTAATTAGAAATATTACTTTTAAAATATTTTATTATTATTTTATGTGTATGAATGTATTGCCTGCACATGTGTAAGTGTGCCCGTGTCATGCAGAGCCCATGGAGGTCAGAAGATGGTGTTGAATATCCCTGGAACTGGAGTCAAGGATAGTTGTCAGTCACCGTGTGGGTGTTGGGAATCAAACCTGGATTCTCTGCAAGAGCAGCCAGTGCTCTTAACTGCTGAGCCATCCCTCCAAACCTAGAAATATTATTTTAAAATAAAACTTTGCTTACTGAAAATGATTGTAAAGCTCTAAATTTATGTATTTTAATTTTCATGTTAAGATAGTCTATACAAAATCATATCTAACCAGAATTATAAAGCATATACACCCCAAGAGCTTCACTCCTTTCTATAAACTTCCTTGCTAGAATCAGGAAAAATGATGATATGAAAAAAATTATAGAGTAAGAATGTCAGGTGGAAGCTTTTATACCAAAAACTCACTGAGAGTTTCAAAACAGATCTGAAAGAGGTTGGGGTGGAGGTTAGGGCTTGATGTATGGCTTGTGTATGAGGGTTTTTCCTTTGCTTTAAAGAGGCTCTCGGGATTGGGATTAGACTATTAGCATGCAAATAGGCCAGTAGAAACCATATGAAATGGAAGACTGTTGTTTGACTTTTCTCCTGTTTTTCCTTAAAGGAGCAGGATTTTAAGGGCAGTCTCAGAACTGAGTGGCTGTTATTTCAGGCTATATCTACAAATTCAAAACCAAAAATTTTCCTCACCTGCTTATTAATCCCTAAAAGATAATGCTCTTAGCCTTTGAAAGATAATGATCTTAAAATTGCAAATGATGGGCAAAGTGAGGTGTTGATAATGCTTATTTACATTAAAAGCTTAATTCCATTTCAATTAAACAAATGTAGACTTCACACTTGCCATGTACAAGGATCATACATGTTATGGGAGAAAGATAGGAGAAGTATCATAAGAGAAGGGAGAGACAGGAGTTAGATTTTGTGTAGATTGGGTTATAAAAGAGGAAGGAATGAAAAGTGACTGGACTTTCTAGTGTTAAGTGACTGGGAAGCCTGTCACATTTCCCAAGGGGAATGAGAGATGTGTGGGGGAAGATCACGAATCAGGTAGGGGATAGTTTGCTGTTGCCTTTCCAGCACATGCCTTGGTGGATCAAAGATGGCAGTAGATGTTTCGTTTAGTGCTGACACTCAGGAGAGAGTTGAAACTAGAGGTGGCAATTTGGAAACCATTCATGGTGGGCATTACTGGAATCTTGAAAATAAACCTTATCTTGAAAATGGCTGCTGAGTGTTAGCAGAAAAAGGACCAACCTGGCATTGAACCTTGGGCATTGCTTGCAATTAAGGGGTAGAGATGAAGGAAGAGATGGAACTGTGGAAAGAGGTTGAAAAGGAGCTGTCCAGGAGATGAAGATTCAGGAAAACACATATCCAAGAAAAGTGAGAATGTTCCCCTGGGAACTGGTCAGCCACACCAGAATGTCTGGTTTGGCTGAATAAAATACTGCAGAAAGGTTAAGTAGGGTGAAAACCAGGAGACGTTGAGAATTGGCAGTTTGGAGGTCACCGGTGAATTTAAGAGGGCACTTTATGTGACAGTGGATGAGCCAGAAATGATTTTGAGATGGACTGAAGAGTAAATAAAAATGGGGAATCAAAGTAAGTAAAGGCCACTCTCATGGAACTGAGCGGGAGAGAGAAGGGAAGCAGCCAAAGAGAGAAGGAAGACAGGCTTGCAGGAAGGATTTGGGAGGCCAGAGGGAAGGGAGCCAGTGAAGAGGGAGAGGCTGAGGAAACAAGAAAATGCAGGTGACAGTGACCCTATCATGGAAGAACCGGGGGTATAAGGGCACAGGAGAGCACTGAGGGTGTTAGAACATGTTTATGGGGCATGTCCACAAAGGGGCACCCAGGAAAAATGGGAGTGTTTCTGAGTAACACCGAGTAATGCAGCTGATGTCACAAAACATGACTTGTGGTGAAGCCCAGTTCCTTAATGGTTGAGAGCTCCATTTGATTTATGTTTGTATCCCAGAGCCTAGAACAGTGTCTTGTACACAGTAGGCTTTAAGCAAAGGGTACTTTGAATAAAAGAATGAATGGAAAAATAAATAAGTGAATATAAATAATTGGCTATTGCGACAAGGATAGAAACTTTGGCCAGTGACATCTTGCAGGATCAGTCATGATATAAAGAGGTGGCAAAGACTCATTAGTATTGAAAAATCTGAGTGGAGTCTGTGGTGGGTAGGAAAGGAAATGGAGCCAGAAGGTGGCAGATGGGACTCACGTGGGACTCATGACATGTGTCAAGGTGTTGAGGGTCACAGTGAGGACAAGAAAGTCCAATGTGCACTGCAGGGCAGGAGAACTAAAATCCACGTGGTGGGGATGATCTTCAAGTGTGAATGAATGATGTCAGGTCCTTTCCTGTTTATGGAATCAGGAGATACAGAGAGCAGATAGACCTGAAGCTTGAGAGAGAGGGGTTGTCACCAGCTAAGTCTCAGAGCAAGGAAGGAATATTGGAAAGAAAGAAGGAGAACTTTACAAATGTCACACCTTTGCCAATGGTTGACATTGTGAACTATAATTTAGAAAATGTAGTCAGAAATAACCCAAGGGCTATGAAGACTTGCTAACCATAGCTGACTTTGCTATAAATACTCCTCATTTTCATGAAGTTCAATTGAAATATTGGGCCTGTTCTCCAGCCTTACTTATAGTGATTTCATGATATTGATAAAAAAGAATTATATATATAAGAACTAAGAAATTTCCTCACTAATTATTTGTAGACTGGTGACATAATATTTCAGTGACTGTTTTCTTAGCTGTGAACTTGGCTTTAGTTTTAATTTAAACACATTTAAGAATAGCTCTTCCATATGTCGTCTTTGCTGTTGGGGTCATCGTCTACAAGATGAGAGCAAGCAAATCCAAAAAGGTGAGTAAGTACGCCAGGTCAGTCTTTTCCATTCCCATCTTCAATATCATTTACTTCTTTTTCAGATTACGTTCCAATATTTTAGCAGAGACTTCTTCAATCCTCTTGTACCTTTTTCTTAGAAATATCTTTGTAACAAGTGACATCAAAATTAAAGAAGAAAATCTTTTCTGTGATAACATTAAAGGCAATGAGGTTTTCCCTGCCCAACAAGTAAGTAAATTCAAGCAACTCCAAGCATGTGGAGTTGCCATGCTTACTCCTTGATGTTTCAAGGTCATATTCTTTCAGGAACATGTGTCCTTCACTGTGACTGGACTCAGAGAGCATGGCCTGAATATGAAGTATCATTTCATATCCCACACAGGTTTCACAACCATTAGGTCACATTTCCAACCTCTCCTCTGCAATTATCTTTTCCACCCCCTTTGTGTGCAGGAGTGGTATGTATCTCAGAATTCAAATCTGTACAGTGTGGGCTGTGAAGCCCTTGCATTTCCACCACCTCTAAGACTGCTATGGTTTCATGTTTGTGCAGTTTCCTCTGCTTTTGAAAACTAGTCACAGACAAACCCATGAGTATTTACACAGTAGGATCTTGAGCAACACTGTTCTGTAGCTTATCTTTTTAATACATTTTTCCCTTGGACATTTTTTCTTGCTGGTATATATTAACCTGCCATGTTCTCTGAAATTATAATATTGTATTCTTATACAGAGGCAGAGAATTAACCCATCTTCTACTGTTGGACTCTCAGGGTGGCTGTGAGCCTGGCTCTGTGTGCATCTGCAGCCCTGTAGTGTGCTAGCTTTGACAATGATACTTCATTCTAACTTGAGCTTCTCTCTTTGTTCTGTCTCTTCTTCACCAGCCATGGAGGCTTTAGGCATCTACTTTCTTTCCTTTTTTCATTTTTTCTACTTTTGCAGTTGTTTTTCTCTGTCCATTGAATTATTCATTCACCAAGTAACCAGTCAATTGTTATGAGGCCCATACTATTAAAAAACAAATGACCATTTTCTCAGGTCAAGCTCACTGTCCTATGTGCTTGGGTAACAATGCCCCTGTTTCTTTGCATTCAGTTTCCTCTTTCACCACATCCAGTCCGAAGATGAAGTATTTAACATGTGCTTCAGATACTTATCATTCAACAAATGCTGGTTGTGTAGAAATGAAGTTCACCATTCACAGTCACCTTTGTGCATAAGGTTGTATGTCTATGTAGGAAACAAACTTCCCCAAGGAGGAAAGGCAAAGATGAAGTAATAGAGGATTTCTCTTCCTTTCAAATTGCGTTGAGTCCTAAAACCCTAACTTCATAGATGGACGCCATGTAAGCATAGAAGCACAAATAGCAGAGGTCGGATAGATTAGTCCTGTGTGCTGAAAAATTTACATTTCTCACAAATCAAACAGAGAATTAGGAATCTGTTAATCAAATGTAATGTTGCTGATAGATTAAATTTTAATTATTGTTCATCATAATTTGTGGTTTTGAAAACTAGAGTTTTTTTCTGATAAAATATAGCCAAGATTTTTGTCTGATCAGTAAAAATGATTGATACCTTTTCTTTTATTATTGTCTCTTGTTTTGCGAAATATTCTGGAGTTCAATTCCAAGATGAAGCTATGTACATGTAGTATTGTTGGAGAGGTAGAGTTATTTCTAAATTTCAATTTCTTCATACCCCATTCATGTTCAAGAATCACCTTTCCTGTTCTGTCTTCTTAAAGACATGTGGAGTTATGCATCTACTATTCAGCTTGGGTAACAATGTCCCTTTCTTTACAGATTGCTCGGCTGATCGAATGTGAGAGAGTTTTAGTGGCACTGGAACTTAGCAACTTCCTCAATGACTCCAGTTATGCCCTTCAAGCTGTGACGCAGTGTTATGGTCTCCTTGCTCCTATCATCTATCACAATATTGTTTTGGTCCCTGTCATACAGGTAAGGGTGTCCCTCGACTCCATGTAAGGTATTTTTATAATGACAATTCAATGATTCGTTATGAAAAAGAAGAGCAATATATTCCTCATAAAGTACAAATGGGTCAAAAAAAGTACTGTGAAATTTCAGAAACGTCTAGAAACAACAAGAAACTGCATGAGACAAATGAAACAAAACCCCCGAAACCATACACGACAAAGATCATAAGAAATTTGCAGAAAACCTTTCGACTTGGCAATAACCTAATAGGAAAAATTGCAGTCTAGATAGATAGTTCCCAGAAACCCACGTTCAAGAGCGTGAGAAACACCCAGTAAGATGCTCCCACACTGTGCATTTCTAGAAATGCATATTGAATTAGCAATGTGAGAAGATCTGTGGATTCTGTTGTTGATGAGAATGCGGGATATGGCATCATCACTCATCCGTGGGGAACGTGAACTATTACAAGCTTTTGGATTTTGATAAAGCAACTTTAATTTTAGTTAGACTAAATCTAATTTTAAGCAGAATTAAAAACAAATATTTCTGACACAGTAAATACTAGCAATTTATTTCATAGAATAAAATAAAAAATAAATTGATCTGAAAGAGCTATCATACCATAAGTTATACACAGAATAAAATCATGAGTTGGAAAATTCTTGCAGCCTTGTGTTCCCGGAGTCCTGGATCCATGCACTCTGCCTCTTGGGGAGATGGTATCACAACACAGAATGTTCATGGACTGAGAGTTGGTGCTTCATCAACTACCCTCCACCACCATTGCATACCATATCTCTTAGCTAGCATCTTTTCAAATCTGGGCTCATAGTTGGTCCCTAAGTGTGCACAAGGGTGTTTAATGTGGTGGCCTTAGTAGAGGCCAGAAATAGAGAAACAATGCTAGTGCCAGATTGTAACACATCAGCCAAAGAGTGTTCAGTGTGAGGACAGTAAATTATGGCTGATCCTCATCAGATGATACTATGTAGCCATCAGCAACATGAGTTAGAGCTGAACCTGTAGACTCAGAGGGACTGTTCATAAGATGTGGTTGAAAGAAAAATGTAGAAGTTTAGAAAAAGTATACATAAATTATATTTTGTAAAATAACAACTTTCTGTGTCCTTTCAATCTATTTGTAGACACACACACACATATGTACAAGCTTTGAGAAGCCTACTAGGGTAATTAGCATAATTTGGAAATATGGTGTGCAATGGCGGCAGAGAGTAGACATGGAGGGAGGAATTCAAAAGCATTTAAAACCCTCACCAGCATACCAAAACAATAAAATCCTGTTAGAATGGTGGCTTGAAGCAATTAATATGCCTCAAAAGAACAAACATACATATCTTAATTTGTCCTTTGGGATAATCAGAACGATGACCGAATGGATTGCTGCAATCTTGGCTACTTCTCTGATGATGATATTGCTTAGAATTGTGCAGCAGGAGTGAAACCTAAATTTAATAGGCTAGTTCTCGATCAAATTCAAGAATGTATGATGAATACATAGCCAGGGGAAGTGGAAGTAAACACCAATATTAATTGATTTTCAATGATGTGTTTGGTTTTCATTTTAAAGGGAATTTTCATTTCAAGTCATTCTGTCTCTGCATTAAATCACAAGTGGTGTCATCCTGTCAGTACTTTTTCAAGGTCTTCCTATGCTTGGATATGATCTTCAGTTTTGGGGGGCTCATATAGCATTTGGCCTCTGTCTTTCATAATACTCCTGAAATTAAGCTTTGTTTTATAGTTACTTGTATACATATTTAATATTCTTCACTAACTTTAGATAGATGACTCATCTGAAAATTGAATGTGTCCATTTTATCCGTGTATATTCTTTTATACACAATAATTTATCAATAATTTTGGATTGCAACATTTTTTATCTTAAGACTCATAGGATTTAGATACTATGGTTTATACTGAATAAGATGATACTTTGACACAAAAAATATTGTGCTTCTTTTTCTTAGATCTTGATAAAATGTATAGTGGTTTTACAAGGAATACCAAGTGTTGTTTACTCCAAGAAACATGTTTCAAGTTTTGAAAGCGTACAGCACATGATAGCTTGCTGTATCTTCTACATGGCAAAGGTATTTATTTAATTATATCGGGTCAAAATTTAGGATTAGTATTAAGTTCAAAAGTCAAACAACTTTTAATCACAGTAATTAGAATACTTAAAAATAACATCCTGGGGGCAGGAGAGATGGCTCAGTGGTTAAGAGCACTGGCTGTTCTGGCAGAACAGAATCCAGAGACCCTCCTCAAAGGTAGGCCACCCATTTCTGCCTGCCTGTGTTAAATCATTCTCACAGGGCCTTTTTATTTTGTTCAGTGATCCAGAGGAACAGTGCCAAAACAGGCTGATTTGTCCCATTGCTTCAGTTAGGATGTAAGCTTCCCTCTGTTGAGGTCTGGCAACAGACCTCTTCTGGTCTGTCTGTTCATGGCCTGTACTCAGTAGCAGAAAGTAGTCTTCCTCAGTCCACTCACTGAGGCAGATATCTCTACAACCTGGCCCATGTTAGAGCTAAGGGAACATACATCATTAGCAGGTGGGAAAGTAGAAATTCACTGAGGGATTTAGGCCTAGGGAGGAAGAGTAAGCCAAGTGCCAAAATATTTGTGTTATTTACTATTCACCATGTTGGAAAAGATCAGAGATGACTTGGAGGCAAGAAAAGGTAAGAAAATTTTCAAGGAAAAACAATCAGATGATATAAAACCAACCAACCATACAACTAACCAACCAACAAACAAGCAACCAAACACTACAAGATTCCAAACCTATGTAACTGAGCAAATAAGTTAGATGAAGATCAGGGTAAGAGGATTTCTTGAATCAAAAATACCTCAGTGTAGAGTATAGTTATCCAGAGATGATCAGTAAGTTCAGAGGCACATCCAGAAGTCACAACATGGGAATACCAGGAGTCTGCGGTTGGAGGAGTAATAGCCCAAGCAGGATTTAATGGAACCACCACCGTATAGAGAGGTATTGGTGAAAGTTCTGAAGACAAGGGATAAGATCAAATCTTGAAGTCTTAGATCTCATGAGCAGCTTCCTTGAACTGGAAAGAGAATCAGTTAGCTTCCAACTTTTTATCAACAAAAGAAGTTAAAACTCTGGAACACTGTGGAATCCTGAAGGATAAAGCCTGAGGTCCCAAAGTTAATAACCAGGAAAGACATCATTCATTCATAGGGGCAAAAAACCCCATTTTCATAAGTGCATGCATTTGAAAAGATTTCTGCTCAGGTACTTGTCTGAGGAAAACACTTGAGGAAATACTTTATCAAATGACAACTGATTCGGGCCAGAAATCCCATGATAGAGATAGACAAAACGTAGAGGGATAGTGGGGGTGATGAATCTTGCAGTATATGTATTATTAAAATTAAGCATGATAGGGGCTGGAGAAATGGCTCAGTGGTTAAAAACACTGGTGGTTCTTGCAGAAGACCCTGGTTCGAATCCCAGCACCCAGCTAACAACTGTGCGTTACTCCAGTTCCAGGGGATCTGATAGCCTCTTCTGACCTCCATGGGCATTGCACGACATGGGCGCACTTACCTACACTCAGGCAATACACACATACACATAAAATGAAATAATAAATAAAATTAAAAAATTAAACATGATAATGACGTGAATCGGACTCTGTAATATAAATGCTAAGTAGTGACTCTTGAAAGAGAAGAGTCATCTTTGAAAGAAAAACTTATTAGTAACCTAGAACTGAAACTTCTGTCCTGTTTGAGGCAGGGGGAGAGGATGTGAGCAGGTAGATTTTTAAACCATGGCTGTACGAAATTATTATTGTTACATAAAAATACATTTCTGATATACACACACATATATATTTAAAGATGACTTGGAAACATGTAACTATGAATGGAACTTTATGAAATAGTAGGATTTCTAACTTGACAGGGAGGAAAAATGGAAAAAATGAGAGAGAGGAACCAAATTTGCCTAATTCAGCAAAAGAAAGAATCAAAAAAGTGGTAATTTTTATGATGGAGGTAATAAAATGATGTATTAACCACATCACAAAGTACCAGTCTTAGAAGACAGACTGCTAGGTGGGCTAAAAACTCAGGTTATAATATATTATTTCAAGAAACATTTCCAAACCAAAGTAGCAGACCATGGTAATGGGCAAATACCAATAATAGCGAAGGAAGATGGCAATTTTCACACCAGACAAAACATAAGGACCCCAAACACCAACCAGGAACAATAATGGCTTTACATAGGGACCTTTGTATCTGCTGAGTTGCCTTTCCCTGCTCTTGGATAGCTTCTGGTCTTGCTACTTGCCGGTCTCAGGACAGCTTCAATAGCAAGTCTTCCCTTAGCTGATTCCCAGCACACACCACACCACACACACACGCACACACACACACACACACACACACACACACCACACACCACACCACACACACACACACATGTACACAGACACACAGACACATACATAGACACACAGACACAGACACACATAGGCACACAGACACATATATACAGAAACACAGACACAGATACAAAGACACACATATAGACAGAGACACAGACACACACACAAAGACACATAATACAGACACAGACATATAGACACACACACAGACACATATAGACATGCACATATGTACACAAAGACACACAGGCACACACACACACGCACACACACACACACAGTTCAAATTAAAAAATACTGAAAATTTTTTTAGAACAGCAAATTAAAGAAAAATAAGATTATCTGAAAAATGCCACAAAGGGGTTCAACAGCACTTAACAACCTTTCCTAATACAATCTCTAGTAAGCTAGGACCGGAGGGGAGCTGCCGAATAATGATAAAGACATTTACCCAGATTTTACAGCAAATATCATACTAAATGGCAAATTTCTGAAGCCATTTCCTTAAAAACCAGGCACAGGAAGGAGATGCTGACTTTTAGCAGTGAGAATCATTATTTTCAAAGGTTCTTTCTTAGGCAACAGATACAGACTTGAAATAGTTTTATAAAAGTAGAAAAGAAAGAAATACAGCTTATTGGTAATTGTAGAGGTCTCAAACATCTTACAAAGAATTATTAAAATCATAGAAAGAATATATAAAGTGACTGTACATAAAACACATATAAGCTGATTGTTTTATGCCAGCAATAGTTAGAAATGGAGAGAGTAGACGATATCATTTATAACATAATATTTAAAACTTAACAAAGTGTCAAAGAACCAAAGTGTGAAAGAACTGAAATTTCTCCAAAGGATACAGAATAAATTGGAGCATATGGCAGGCCATACCAAGTTCCTGAACATGAAGATTTACTGTCACAGAACTATAAATCCTTCCTAAAATAGCACTTAAATTTAATGCAGTTCCAATCAGAATTCCTATGGGGTTTCTCCAGAATAATTTAAAGGTTCTCAATACATATTAAAACTTAAAATAAAGCCACCTTAATAAAAGCGGTGTTAACAGCATAGTGGGCAAATTGGTCAGTGGAATAGATTACAGGGTTCAGGAATAGCTCCTAATCCATGGAAGAAATGAATGTATTACCAAGGTGGTGATTTGAGTGATGGAGAAAGTGATGCTCTCTTATTATAGTATGTTCCTCTATTATTATACTGTGTTGTATGGAAGATGCTAGTATAAGCGATGGCGCATCTGAAGTTAGCAAAGTCTGTGTGAGGAGCCGTACCTCACACCATCACAATGTCCAGGTGATTCAAGGATATGGCCTTGGAATCAGGGTCACTTTCCTCAACAAGAGAGAAAACATAGAGAAAAATATAGCTAATTAGATTATGTGGTGGTTGAAAGATTTTTTTTTTTTTATGGCAAGAGGGTCTAAGCAAAGCTTGCAGGCAAACACTAGAGTGGGAACATATATGACAGATACATGATCATTACCGTTGATTGCCTTGGGGAATAATCAATGAGAAAATATGAAAAAAACCTTACAGTTCATTCACCACAGAGGATACAGGTAAAAATGTTGAGTTGCCTGAAGAGTGGAATAGCAAACAGATACCAGCTGATGAAAGGCCATCTTCTGAGATCCAAGGGGAGACGTTGAAGGGTTTCAAATCCAGGAATGGCAGAATGAGACCTGCGTTTTAGAGGGAAGCATGATTTTGGTTGCACAGTAACTGATCATTCAAAGGGGATAATACCTGTGGCAGGGTGCATACCTGTGGTAGTGTGGGAGCAGTGGGAGGCAGAGAGGAGGAAGGATTCAAGATCAGATGGAGAAGCTGGAAATCTACCACATGGTGACGGTCAGAAAAGAGAGGAAGGCACAATGTTACTATCTAGCTACACTGTCTGGCCATATGAACGAACACAGCACTTTCTGTTGATACCAGATGAAAAGTACTTTTGTCTAGAAAAGGAGAAAATCGTGTTTTGGATAGATTGAATTTTGAGGCTGACAGGCTATCCAAAGTAGTGGCCCTTACATAATTGGTCCTGTAGGCCTGAAGCTCTGGAGAGGCTAATTATGTATAAAGATGTGAGACATGGGGATGGGGAGTGGGTGGGTCATTGCATGAGGACTACCACTGAAGCAATAGCAGTGCATCACAGTGCCTTAGATAGGGTGTGGAGTGGGAAGAGGGGGCACTTACCTAAGAATCTCAGAGGTCCATAGCCAACGGGAAGCACCTGCTTCCAAACAAGAGACAGAAGGAAGAACTGGAGAGACTGGTGAGGCCCAACAGGTGCTATCATTCCTGACCCCTTCTGCCATTCCTGCAGTATGCATTCTGTCACTGGGGCATGCTGTAGCTAGTGGAGGTACACATTCTCTTTCCAGATCTTCCTTAGTGTTGTATAGGGGATGGGAGACAGGAAGTGGGGGGTTAGAGTGCCCCGCTGCCTTTCTTTAGAGGATGTTCATCTGCTTGGCCTGCAAAGGCTTCTGTGGGTCGGGGAGGGGTATTTCCATCAAGTAATGTCTCTTTCATATAAAAGAAGAGTGCTTGCACTTTCCTTCCAGATCATTGAACACACCTAAGTACTTTATATGCAAATAACAGGGGCCATGGTAGGGGTTCTACCAAAACAAACTCCACTGTATGGTAGCTACCAGCTAGGTGACTTTTCCAATAGCAAATTTTCTGCTAAACCCAACCAACCAAACAACCAACCAACCAAACAACCAACCAACCAGTCAGCCAACAAACCAACCAACCAACCAACCTAACACACAAGCAAACAAATAAAGAAATCAATTCTACTTATCCAGAGACTCTAAAACATTTAAATTCAATGAGAGGATTCTGGAGGGGGAAAGGAAGGTGTGGTAGGGGAGAAATGATGACTAGAGTGTGATCCCTGGAGGTGGTGCTTTGGCAGTGAGGAAGAGGAGAGTAAGAATGGTTCTGGAGATTTCAGAAACCCTGAAGGGTGTTGACAGGTGCTGTGGAAGATGGGTGACGATGCTGGTTCCAGTTAGTATTTAGGGCCCGGTGGAGGTTCAAATCCTTCAATTTACATGTTACCTCTCTTAGCCCTAGCACACAGTGTCACTGGGGCCAGCTCTGGACCATTCCTGGCTTCCCAGACATGTCCCCCCACCTCTTCTTTCCTCACTTGAAGGATCAATAGGATCCAAGCAATCTCAAGGCAGAAATGATTCTGAATATGCTCTGACCCTGAACAAGAATAGTCTGTCAGGAATTTTGATACTTGAGCTGGGCTTGTCACTAACTGAGATGTTGAGTCCTGCCACATTCAGCTTGGCCTGTAGTCTTCCAGTCAGGCTAGACCTGAATCCTGGTTTCCAGAAGTTCATTTGATATAAACCGTGTTTGATTTTTTTTTTCTCTTAGACTATGAGAAGCTCTGTTAGTCAAGGAACTCTGTTTCTTTTGCTGTTGTTTTTAAAAACTTGATCTTTTTAGAGGGCTCAATCTTTTTCTTTAAGTTGCAGTGTCGTTTTTTTAACCTCCAAGTCACTGCAATTTCAAATGAGACAGCACTTTGAGATTTGTCATCTTAGCAATTTCATTATTTTTGTTTTGTTTTAGAGTTGTTAGGCTAACTGTCTGGCACACTATTTCTGTCCACCATTGGATGCGTTGGATAGAATTGTTCCTTTGTTTTTCTGTTGATTGGAAAATTTGTTCTCATCACTTACTGTTTTCCAATGATACATTTAAACAAGAAGCAGAAGTTGCAAGACTCTCTTGAAGTCAAATAAAAGCAGGCTAAAAAGCAAGGAAAGCAGCGTGGAGAGCACATATTAGCTCATGTCCGCTTTCCAGCAGCAATGCCATGAGATTGAACTGCCGTACCACACCTTCTATTCCCTGTAGGGCCATACACCTTTCAAAGCGTATATCACCAGTTTCCTTCCCACATTCTGCTCCGTACAATGAACTGCTTTGTTTTGGTGCATTGCCTTGACTCCACAGAACTATCTCTATTTCTTAGCATTGGGTGGGTCATAGCAAGTTTAGATAACCACTCATTATTTTTAAACCCCTTCATACAGCCCTTCCTTATGTAGGAAGAAATTTTTACTTACCTTAAATTGGAACTTACTCAACAGACTGTGTCTACATATAACAAATTCACACATACTTATTTACAGTCATAATTGTCCCCTCTGGGGCAAGGCTTATCATAAATGTGTTCCTTCCTTTCACCCATTGCTACAGTGGGAAATATACAAGTCAGATTAGTGGCCAAGGAGCTTCTTGGTGTTGATGTCAGAACCAGAGGTTTAATGATAAGGTGGCTGAAGCTGTACAAATAAGGGGTGACAGGCGCATTAGAAAGCGACTCAGCCACGAAGAGACACACAAACATGGTGGTGTCAGGATTATACTTGGCTCAATAATTTATAAAATTATTGAGATGGTGGTGGAAGATGGTTCTAGAAAAGGCCAGTATACCCACTGGAACTGGACAATGTGAGCGAGAGGGGCAGAGCAGGCCCTTCCCTCTAAGGTTAGTGTTGCTTCCATTTGAGCTCTCAGAGACTGCCCACCCCTCTATTGAGGTGACTTGCAATCACAGACTGAAGTAAGTGTTCTTCTTCCTACCAAAGACATCATGTGGTCAAGCCTTGCTCCGTTTTCCACAGAAACAACTCAAAATAAAGTGAGCATAGTAATGCATGTTAATCCTAACATTTGGTAGGTAAAGATCGGAAGATCAGGAGTTTTAGATCGTTTTCAGATATATGGTAGGTTTGATGCCAGCCTCGGCTACTTGACACTCTTCCTCAAAAGCAAACAAATCAAAACAAATGAAGAATACAAAACTCAGAATAAAAGATGGCATGTCTATGACCTTTAAGAGATAAAGGAATTTCATTATTAATAAGAACCTGTTATTAGTCCTCTTTTTTTCCTAAAAAAAAAAAAAAAAAGACAGAACCACCTAATTTTAACTCTAGAGAAATCAGATCTTGAGAAAAGACTCCTGTTTTCTTAACAAAATTGGGAGTTCTTAGAACCCACAAGACTCATGGGACTTAGAATTTATGAAAGTTGATGTATTCCACTTGAAGCAGACCAGCATCCAACAGAGATAATTAATACTTACTTTTAATTAGATTCTACGTTCATGGAAGGAATATGACCTGGCTATAATGATTATAAACTATGGGAAAAAGATGTTGGACATCACATCGGGGTGCAAATCTCTATTTAGTAATGAACAAGAAGAAACTGCAGATGGGGTAATTTGGTTTTATTTATTTGTTTGCTCCTTTTTCTGTGTTTGTGTCATTTAGTATCACTGAACACATTAGAAAATTGATCAATTTTTAGTTTATCATCTTTTCCATAGAAGGAAAGTAGTATCATTAGAACTTCATTGAAAGTAACATCAATAAGAACTTTAATTTTAAAAAATATTTTTGGGCTGTGATAAAAATCAGCCTGTTGAATAGTTTGCATTAGTGATGCTGACTGCCGGTTAGTGAGGACAGAGCTTTCCACATTCAGTTGGACATTGGGCTAAAAGCTCCCTAAAAATCTTTAATTTGGAGTCAAAGATGTTAGGTTCTAGTGCATCCCTGAAGGTAGTGAACACATATCCAAGTTTTAAATCTTGTGTTAAGGGTAGATTTCTGAAAGTCATTGATACCAAATTTTTCTTCTTTATGAAGCTGCCAATTTTTTTGAGACAAATTTTTAGTATGTGTCTTCTATGTATGAGTCTCATCAGGGCCTATGCTTTATTGCCTTTCCTCAAAGCTGTGTGGGCTAGATGTTTTTGTAGTCCAGGTTTTGAAATGTTCCTTGGTCTGTTGGGTTTCTGAAGGCATATGAGCCCGTTTGGTGTCTTGGATGGCTGTAGCTTCTCACCTCTCACATTGTTGCAGTTAGATTAGCTCCATGCCTCCTCTGCGTGTAAGACCTTGACTCAAAGCTCCCAGCCTTAATGGTATTGAGGGTAGGGTCTCATACTTCTCCTTTGAGCCTCTGGTTCAGCAGAAATTTGTGAGGCTTCCCACTGACAAGGTTGTGGGAACTGCTAATTTGTCAGAGGCAGAAATCATTAGCGCCACTAGAGACCTCTTTTAAGCCAAAAGGGCCTTGGAAAGGTTTTGTTTTTGAGAACAAGAGACAGTGACATGTCAGTTCTCAGTTTCAGACAGAGAAAACATGGTGGGGAGGCTGAGTGTACACAGGCCAATCCTTAATCCACTAATTACTGATTTTGTTAGGTTTCAGTGAAAGGCAGAGTGGCAAAGGTAATTAGCTTAGTTATAAAGAAACTCCTTCTGGGAAAAAGAAAAGAATAAAAGGCACATTCCTGAGTGCTGGCTGGCTTTCTTTTGAGGGTTTTTTGAGATATAGCCTCAGCTGCTTTAGGAAGAATGTAGAGGCTGTAGGTCAGTTAATATAGCTCTTGCTTAGCGTGTGTGAAGCCTCATGTTTGATTCCCAGCATCACATAAACCAGGTATGGTGACACAGGCCTATAATCCCAGCACTGGAGATGTAGAGGCAGGAAGATCAGAACTAAGAAGCTAAGATTCATCCTTGGCTACTTTGAAAGTTTGAGGCTAGCTTGGGCTATGTGAGACCCTATCTCAAAACAAGCACCATCGCCAACAATGAAAGAAGAGTGAATAGGCTGGAGGGTTTAGAGTAGGAGTTCCTGAAAGGAGGCAGAGGGAAAGGAAGGGTGTCAGTCACTGTCTATGAAACTCTTAGTACTTTGAGTTAGAATGCACTGTCTGGTATTATAAAGTCCTAATTGTTGATTAACCATGCAGATCATGTTTTGTCTAGTAAACATGAAAGCGTGAAAATATAAGAAGGTTATTTGAAAAATGACAGTTTTCCCAACATGCTAAAATATATTTTGACATTTACCTACTGTTTCTAGGGTTCTTGTTCTAAGAAAACTTCAAAAACTAAGAAGCTGCAGCAGGTACTGATGCCTGAAAAGATAAATGAACAGCTGGCCTTGTTGGAGTCACATCTACTCAAACTGACAAAGCAGTGTAATGTTTCTTCTTTTACATCTGTTCAACATTATGTTTCTTAAAATGAGAAAATATTTTGTTGAAAGAATGAAGATAAGATTAGTATTGTAAACCCTTTAAGGTTTATACAGTGCATTTATATTATGCTATTAATCCTAACAACATCTTGTATGTAAGAGATCACTAGCTGCTTTTTACAGGTGTGTCTCATAATGAAAAGGCATTTACTCAGGCTTGGATAGCTAGCTGACTTGGGTGTGAGCCCATGTTTTCTAGCTCTACGGTGGGGTTTCTCAGCTTTGGGGCTATTGCTGTTAGGGACCGTGTAGTTCTTTGTAGTAGAGGCTCTGTCCTGGGTACTGAGGGCAGCATCCTAGATTCTACCCCTGGGAGCAAAGCACAGCATGTACCATGTTATGATAGCTACCTGAATAACTAATTGAGAGAGAGGTAAAGAATGGCCCCAAATGGGAATCACTGCTCTAAAGGCAACAGGCAACTGAGGAATCCTGAGGTAGTGTGATGGTGTTATTGGGAAGTAGTTTGAACCATGGGTTACTTGAATAGAGAGAAAAATGAAAGAGAAGTTAATTTTAGGCCATTGTGCTGTAGTAACTTCATAATGGACTAATGTGTTAATGTAATGATTCGTATTTTGGAGTTCACAGTTTGGAAAACTGCCTAGGAATTTGATTTAGTTTCTGAGAGCTATTCCAGCTCATTAAATATTGTAGAAGAACAAGAGTGTGCCCATAATTCTCTCCAGTGGGTGACTCCAGGTTTGGAAGTGGACTGATAGAACTCTGTGTCCCACCTCACCCCTCTCACTGTGTGCCTCAGTGGTACTGTTGGCTTGCTCCCATTCCCAACATATTTCTTGCTCTTTTCAGGCTGAACTTATGAACCTAATGTTATATTATTCTCATAATTAATAAACCTAGTGTGGAAAAGCTCTAAAAATCTTGTTATACATGTAGAATGTATAATTCCTGAAAATTGAATGTGTTCTAGAAATGTAAGTTATTTATTTTCACAGCATTAAAACATTTTATTAAGAAGTAAAATGTATTACTGGCTACTTAGTAAATTCAATAACAATAATAAAACATTTTGAACAGTGTTTTCTATGTATTAGACACTATTTTAAATATTTCAAATACATTTAAAAATCATAAAAATTAAGGGGCTGGAGAGATGGCTTAGCAGTTAAGAGCACTGGCTGGCTGCTTTTATAGAGGATCCAGGTTCAATTGCTGGCACTCACATGGTGGCTCCCAATCGTCCGTAACTCTAGTTCCAAGGAAATCCAATGCCCTCTTCTGACCTTTGTGGGCATTGCATGATTCACATGCATGCAACTAATACATTCATATGCAAAAATTAAAAATAAGTGAAATTTAAAAATTAAAATCATACAAATTATGTATAACAACCATATAAAGAAAGTACTATTATCTTCATTTTAAAGACATGGACACTGAAGCAGAGATTCTTTGTAACTCCCCAGATTTCACAAGTGATGTGTTAAGATTAAAACGTGAATACAGAGCTGAGCATGGTGGCACATTGCTGTAATCATAGCAGTCAGAGGATGAGGCAGGGGGATCACATGTTTCAACCTGCATGGGCTACATAATGAGAGCCTGTATTAAAAAACCAGCAACAAAACTGAACTTGAACCCAGATACTCTGGTTCTAGTGACTGCTGTACTTGACTGCTTTTATAAAGACAACTTTATAAGGATAGAATTAATAAAACTGGTAGATTTTGATGGTGGGACCCTTAAATTTTAAAGGAAAATAAAGGAAATAATTGAGTATATTGGGTTTTTCTTTCTTTCCAAATTATAATGATATATTTGATAAGGGGTATATTTTAATATTTACTTGAGTATTTTCCTCTTTTTAAAAATTCTCTCCAAAAGATTTTAATTTTTTTGTTGTTCAGATCAGAAAAGAAATTAGAACTTACTAATTTTCTAACCTTAGTCACTACAGCTGAACTCTCTGGAGCAGAGGACCCTATATTTCTGTACCCAGTGGTTTTAAACTGGTCGGTGAAAGGGGCCGTGAAGGAAGGTAGGTGACCTGCGTGTGCCTGTGTCACCTTACCATCGTAGATGGTTTATGCTGTGTTTCAGTTGCATGTTTAAAGATTTTACCTGTTTTCAGCAAAGATTTACATCCTCCCCATTCAGAATAATGCAGAATCTTGATTACTAAGTAACTGAAAGAGTCTTAAGCAAGTACCTGGCTTAAGATCTGTGAAGAAAGACCCTTCATGGCAGCTTACTTTGATGTGAACAGTGATATTATGAAACTTACAAAAGAGAGCGTAGCCGTGAGGAAGCGGCACCATTGTTGCTCAGCAAGTTCCCCTGGTCAGTCATACATTACAGACCACTTCAGTTAAATCTTTATTAACATTGAGGTTTATGGAAAATAAACCAAATATACACTGTAAGGTAATCCTTGTTACTAGAATAGAGCAATAAACAGTTCATCCAATACCTACTCCTATAATTTTTAAAAGTAACAAATCTAAAAGACAAATCAATCCACATGCCTGTTTTCAGCACGAGTAATCTTTCAGCACTGGTTACTGTGTACATTGATTGGTAAGTGAATAACGAATGTCTTCCTTGTTTTATAGTTATGAAATTTAAACAAAGACCAAGATTCCTAGAATTCTTTACACAAGTTATGCTTAAATGCATGAATGATGAAAAATTTTACCTTGTGGTGGAGATAACAGCTCCTGTTTATGAGTTCTTAAAAAGGTACTTGTGCTATCAGTGTCACACATGTAAACGATTTTTAGAAATGAGCAGGACTGACATTTTAAGATGTAAGAGGTGGATGAAAAAGAGGGTGTGGCAAATGAAGCTATGGCCTGATACATGGACGAGTTTGGTGTCTGGGGGTGGTAAAGAAATAGCTGTAAAACTATGTAATACAACTGAACTAAGAAGCCACACTAAAACGTGTTCTGGTTTCCATCAGAAATGAATCAGGGCTTTTCTGTTGGGTCAATGTGAGTCACAGAGGTTCACTAGGCCATTAGCTGGCTTGTAAGAGGTTTAGAGGCCTGCTTTGCCTACTCATTCTGAGCTCCTGATTCTATCATAATGAGCAGAACCATTCCTTGGGGATTTCATTTGTGTATATGAATAAAAAATTCTTAGAAGTAGTAAGCCTTAAAGCTGTCCTTCCATTTTCTAAGCTGAAATGATGCTTTTTACTCTCAAAGGAAATCATAAATGTCTCATGCCAGTTATGAGAGATGCTAGATTCATGCAACTTGTCTTCAGAGCACTGACAAGTGGCCGTGTCTGTCACCACTGAGCATAAACCTATCTATCCCATTTTAATAAAAAATTTAAAAACGGCAGTGAAGGAGGAGAGAAGCATTCCTTTAAATTGATGCTGGGATATATTCTTCCTAAATTAGGTACCTCATCTATGAGAGCTGAAGCTTGAAATATATAGGCACTGTATTTTTAAAAGATAAAAGAGGAAATCTTGGCTATTAATATAACTGGCCACAGTAATCAGAGAACTGGTCAGAACCAGAACATTGTATTCAATTAAAAAAACAAAACCTAAAAACTAGGTAAGCTTTAAACAATACTTTTGAAAATCAGAAGCCATAGCAGTGTTCAGGGAAATTTGAAGGGCCTCAGAAGCGTAACTTAAGAATACTAGGTGTTCTGAAGGGGAAGACAGATGAAGGGGCTCCGAAGCCCTGAACAGTGGCATCATGAATACCTGAGGCTGGAGTCAGCCATGAAGCTGAGCTCAGCAACAGTAATAATTTAAGCTCCAAGACAGCCTGGGTGCTTTCGGATGTCTTCACCAAGTCAGGGCATACAGAGAGCCTGGTAGATGCAGCATTTTCACTCCAGTTTTAATAGGCACATCTATTTCTGTTCATGGTCATCTGCCTAACATGCATGGTGGCACAGACCTTTAATCTCAGTATTCAGGAGGCAGAGAAAGGCGAGTCTCTGTGAGATCAAGGCCAGCCTGGTCTACACAGTGAGTTCCAGGCCACCTGGGACTACAAGGAGGCCCTGTCTCAAAAACAAAACAGACACACAAATAACTAAACAAAAAAGAAATGGAAATGACAGAAAATTTGTAAATTTTAGGAACATTAGGTGACATGTCAGTAGAAAGCTATCAAGAGGGCTAATCCGCTGGAGTCCATGTCTGGGACAACAAGGCTGGATATTCCCAAGGTGAGTAGGAGAGAGGAGAAAATTAAGTAACAGTGGAAGTTGAGAGCTTGCGCAGGATGGAACTAAATAGACTGAACTCAGGAGGAAGCAGGCTAGTTTGTCCAGAGCCACTCTGATGTAGCTTTCATCTTGGTTGTAAAGGAAAGTGTCTATATAGACTATTTTCAGTTCTGTTCTGTTCAACCTATACGATACATTTGACTCTTTATCTTTTTCTTATGGACACATTAGCCCTCCTTGCAACTTTTTGAATGAATGACATTTTACTCTTAAGGGGTCAGCTGCTCCTTGATGAGGAGAGGTCACATTCTAATTGTGCACAGAACACAAACAGTTTTGTGTGTGGTTTTTGCATAGTTGCAGTGTCAACATTCATTAAAGAGTATTACTTCAGGGTAGTTTTCTACTTATTTTGCAGGTCTTTTGGACTAACATTTTCCTTTTTGTGTGTGTCTTAGGAGAAATAAATCTCTCATTGGAGTAAAAAAAATCAAATGTAAGGAAAATGCCCCCTGTAAAAAGGAAAGCCAATCTCCCAGGAACTTTAAAGCTATAGTAATAGAGATCAGAAGAGTAAGTTTTCTTATGTGTTTTGCACTTTAAATTAATGAAATTAAATAAGAGCTTGTATATCTAGAGATGATTGGTTATATTTTAATTTATTATAATGAAACAGA